AGAGAGAGAGAGAGAGAGAGAGAGAGACGCAGACAGACAAACAGGCAGAGACAGACCCAATCCAGACCACCGCAGGGTGAAACAGTTTATAACTAGGAAAGCTGCGGCCACTATCAATAAATTAATAAGGGAAAAAAACCAGCCTAATGAATAAGCTAAAATTAGAGGCTCCGCGTTGACGTGGCAAGCAGAAAGTGACATTAACGCCACGGTGGACTTGACGACATGCGCGTATGTTGAGAACTTCCGCCTGACGACTCCGAGAAGGAAATTAAATAACATGAGATCTGACTGAAGGCGGGAAAATAAACGCACATAAGATTGAGCATATGCTGTGAAGATTCTAAAAGCACATCTACAGGTTTATTTGTCTGACAGAAAAAAGGAAGACACCAACAAGACAGCGGGCATCGAATGTCGGAAAAGGCTTCGAAGAAACGTACTTTATGCCTTAGTTTTAGTAAGAGTTTTACGGCACTTTCAAAATAATAAGGTCATGTAAGTGCCGAAGATTAGAGGTGTTACAAGAGAGTAACAAACACAAAAAAGAAAGAAGAGAGACGATAGATGTTTGATAGGGAAGAAGCAAACCACACCACAGCACCCGGTAACCACCCACGTACTGTATGTCTGGTAAGACGTTGGAGTCACTATGAGAATAATTCAGGTCATTTATGTAGAAACATTCAAAGTGGCGTTTTTACCTCGGAAACGAATCAGTTTTAGGGCTATCTCGGACAGCGACCGTGACGACAATGACCCGAGGAAGGTGTTTTATAATTAAGGTTTCAGTTGTAATAAACCAAGGCACATCGACACAATACTTATAATCTCGAGCGGGAAAAAGGCAAGACAGACAGAGAGACAAAATCAAAAGAGAGAAAGAAAATAAATAGGACCGATCAGTAGCGCTCTTCACCCACCTGTACCGTAACAGAAGTATATTAATAACATACAATATTTTATATTACATCTATGCCCTCCCCTGTGTGTGTGTGTGTGTGTGTGTGTGTGTGTGTGTGTGTGTG